TATATATATATGCTCTAAGTCACAATTTAAGAAAAAATAAGTTTACACTTGTTTGAATACTAGAACCTGAGTTACCTGGGTTTCTGTCAGCATGAGAGACGTGGCCACCTCAAAGCGCTTGGGTCTGGACAGGTACTTGTTGAGTTTGAACTGATGCTCCAGTTCCAGCAGCTGCTGACTTGTGAACGCAGTTCTGGGTCTTCTGCACTTTCCAAGCAAGTTTGACTGCGCCTGGGCTGCAAGAACAAAATGATGAGTTCTAATGGCCTGAAAGCTCTTGATTATCAGTTTTGCTTTAAATTCTCTTGGGGGGAAAAAAGGATTTGAAATATGTTTGAATAGATGTTGAAGCAGATTTTGGTACAAAAAATGCTTAACTATTTAGACTTTTCCTGTAAAAAAAAAAAGCCACCCATCAGAATATAGTCCACACAGAAAAGCTTGTTTTCCTTCATCGTTTTGAACAAAGCTGTCAAAACGAGCAGAAACAAAACGCGCAGTCTCTGCTGAGCAAATCGCATGTCGGCTGTGGCTTTCACACTCCTCTGCCACTTTCCCCCACTGTCCATTATCTGTCCATTTTAGTTCCTCTCACAAAAACCACCACTGTATGACGGCCTCTGCAGCCACACGAGAAAATCTGATGGGAAACGCGCTCCAGGCGTTATAAGAAAAGGAAATATTTTGGATAACATGATGCTGTATGGAGGCGTGCAGGCCTCAAAGCTGCTTAAAAAAGCTTTGAGTAATAAATCAGGCTTCCGTTATATGACCAACCATGATTTGCAAATAAATGGCATAATTTGATGGTGAACAGGATACTCACAGTTAAAGTCGGACATTTTTGGAAGCATCATCCCGGCTGTGGAAACTCTCAGCCAGTGGTCCAGCTGGAAGGGGCTGGCCGTCAGTTTAATGGGGTCAGTGTGGGGGTGATGCGAGCCGTGCGGGTAGGAGTAGGACAGGGCAGGATGCTGGCCCGTGAGCGCAGCGGCCGAGTAGGTGTACATGGGGTGGCCGTAGAGAGCCTGCGCGGGGATCCCGGCAGTGCTCTGCGGGTGCAGTCCCACCATGCCGTGCGGGCTGCTCAAGAAACCCGGTTTGGGGATCAAGCCGCACGCGGAGATCCTCGGCGGGGACGGCGTCTCGGCGCGTAAAGACTCGGCGCTGCAGGCGCTCAGCTCCGGAGCTCCTCCGTTGCCCGTGGACGGGATGGAGGAGGAAGAGGAGGCGGAGGAGGAGGAAGAGGAGGACAGGGAAGTCACCAGAGCCAGCGGTGAAGTCTGCGCCTTGGGTGTGTCGACTGCTAAAAGCGCGTCAATGCGAAAGTTTTTGGATTTCTCCATTGGTCCCCGTGCGGTGCGCGTCCTTGCCACCTCTGAGGCCCACAAAAACCGGAGGAGAAGTCAGCGCCGTTTTGCCACCTTTCAAAAGTTATGAGATGATCCGGAGTGTGAGAGAGGAGCACATTTTCACTACTAATCCCAGTCAGATGGAGGCGATTGGTGCAGCCAATCTGTGGAGGAGAGGGGAGGGAGGTGTGTGAGCGCGCAGCGGAGTCGACAACGCCTCCCACGTGCATGAATGAATGAATATCTTTATTGTCGCACCACCAAAGTGGAATTTAAAGGGTTTTAACTGAAACAAAACACACAATCGTTGACATATTATTAAAATACCTAAAACATTAAAAAATCTTTATATCAGGAAAATATGAACAAAATAAAAGCATGAGCTCAAAACAAGGCAGGTGTGTAAATAATAATTAATGATCTAAAACAGTAAGAACATTTTAAAACTTTTAGATCACCACAAAGAAAGGATAGGACAGCTTGAACTGTGCTGAAGCATAAAGCTGGCACAGTCCAAACATGTTTTGATAAAATAAATCAAAACAGGGGGAAAAAAATCAGAAAAGGTAAGTTTATATCTGGACAGATTTTTTTCCAATGTTTTTCTTTAGTGCAAGTTTCCAAATTATGTTTCAAAACAATCTTTTGCTTCACAGATGCTTGGAACTTAAACAAAATATATATAGATTTGATTTACTTTGAAATGTAAACTATTTTTTTTATAAAATTGTTAGTTTTTTTTTCTTGCCCTCTGGTTGAATCTTCTGAGTTAATTTTGTGAAGTAAAACCTGAAAAATAATTCCAATCATGGTATTATAAGAGGCGTTCAGGGCACGTTGGATAAAACAAAACTCAGTTTCAAGAAGACATTTCAGGTCAAATGGTTAAAAAAAAAAAGACGCCAGATTTTGCGCCAAATATGCCAACGGGGAAATAGAAGTAAAAGCCCTCCTTCTGCCTCAACCTGAAGGTGACACTGATCTAAAAGACCTCCATGAAGTAATTATATAGCACAACATGGAATCAAATACTGATATTTGAACAAAATAAAATGGAATTTCAACAAAAGTGTCTGCAGCAGGAAAAGCAAAGTCCCTTAACTGAACGCGTCAAAGTGTGATGAAGACACAGCTGTATAACAGGCCTCGTGGCTCCGGATGAATTCGGTCTAATCAGCCACTTAAACTTAATGGAAGAGGAGGTCAGAACGAGAATTATTGACACCCCGCTGCCCTTAACCTGTCTACCAATAAAGCTGATTGGTTTTTGTCGATTCATCAGCGGGCGCGAGCTCCTGCGGGACGTTTATTTGCTCGGGGGAAATCAACAAGTCAGCGGGGAGATCTCTGCTAACGGATCGCCGTTTAATTGTGGCCCTCGATGATCATGGCCAATTACAGAATGATAACTGGGAGATTGTTGCGGCTGGGACGATGGAGGGTTGCATGACGGTGGGGGGTGGGGGTAGGGGGGCTTGGTTCATCTGTGCGTTTGTGATCGCCCGCCAAAGACAGGCGCAGGCGGGAAATCTTGTGTTTGCTGTCTGTTAGCAGAATATTTAAGAAAATTGTATGAAGCAGAAAGTAATAATTAGATGTAAATCTACAACTGATTAAACTTTAGAGTCAACGTGATTCTTCTGATCTTAAAAAAATGGTTTTAACTCTGTTGTTTTGCAGCTATTAGTAGTTGCTGTGGTGAAAGTTGACAGTGATCACCAACACATACTCTGAGCACTGTAAGATTGTGCAAGATCTTCATTGAAAAACATACCAGTCAACTCTATTTGACTGTTAGCAAAATATCTGATGAACCAATGAATGGATTTTAATGAAACCTTCAGGAAACAGTAAACGGTTGTATTTCTACAAGTGATTAACTTTTGGAGTCAATATAATTTAAGATGACCAGCACAGCCGACTGAACTAAGACAATGCAAGAAGAGTTATAAAACTGTCTGTTTTACAGAAAGTGAGCTACAGTAAATGTGTTGTGGTCGCTGAAAGTCATTCCTAATATTCCAGATTTACTCAGACTGGACCAATACCTTGATATTTGGTGTCAATTCATCTCAAGAAGGCTGCTTCACCACGTAAATGGTTGGTAACTTAATGTGGGCCTATACTGAGTCAAATTCTGCTGTGAGGAATCCTGAGCAAAAGTTTTTAGTGAGTTTATAATTATTTATTAATTTTCGATCAAAACCGCTAACTCAGTCATTTGGTGATTTTAGTCTAAACCCCCCATGGAATGACTTTATTTCTACTTGTTCATTCAGTTAAAATAATAAGTATAAATAATCACAGATATGTTTATTATAAAGTGAATGCTAATATTAAAGTAAAAACTACTTTGGCAGCTTTAAACATGATTGTTCTAACAGCTGGGCTGAGCTACACAGACCTGGGCTTGGCCCCCCTTTCATCCCCCCGTCCCGTCCGCCCCTGCACGAGTTTAATTTCATTAAGGACACCAGCATGAATATTTCTATTAAAGCTGCGGTGAAATATGGGGCCATTTCCCACTGGCCTCTGCAGATTTATCGCTCCTTTTCATCACATCTGAGGGGAGAGAAAATGAGCAAGGCTCCCCGGGAGGAACGGGACCTTTAAAACCTCCTTTTCCTTTTTCCTTTGAAAGCTGTTAATTTGCCCTGTAATTACGTCTACAAAAAACTAAAAAGTACAAATCAACGTGACAAATAGAAGGAGTTTCATATGTTAATTGCTTGTGACAAATTTCAGATTTTTTTTCATCTAAAGGACCTGATTTTAATGTGACCTGAACTGACAAATTATGAAATGTGCAAAACTGATTTCTAAAATATTAAAGGCTCATTTCTTTCGTTCAGGGCAGCATATCTTTGGCTATTGAAGTAATCTGGTC